AACGGTTCTGTAGATGAGGTCGCTCTACAATGAAAAACATAGTAAAATTAAAGAAATTTCAAGTAAAAGTCAGATGATAATGTCGGTCACCAACCGTACAATATTTTGTAATTTCAACGTTGAAGGATAGTTTTTTTTTCGGAAAGACTCAATGATTGTATCATTTTGATATTTTCAATGTCTGAATGAGAATATTTAATTCAATTAAAATCTTTCATTAACCCTTCGTTTATAAAAAGATCTACTAACAAATAACAACTTTTAGCTAAAAAAAAAACCCATTCATTTCACTTTTATCGGTACATATTTGTATAAATGGTACAACGTTTCTGTTTAAATGGAAAGGTCACTTTAAATGATTCATCTATTGACGTATCGAAAAAGAATGAAATAAGCTAATATTTGTCGAATACCAAATGAAGCATTCAGTGACTGAAAGTGATAATACCTTTTTTTCACAGAATTTATTTCAAATCTTTTCTTTCACATAACAGTAAGAAGATTTTTTCAAAATGTGTCTTAAAAAGACAAACTGTAAATTTATCATTAAGTTGTTATCATACAACTTAAAGGATTACTAATATCTTCGTAGTTTCCTCTTATTTCAGAGTTCGGTAATGTTATTGTTCGTAGTTATGTAACTACTTTGTTTTTCTGGTTACCGTTATTGTTATTCTTGTCCCTCAAACCTATCTGTTAGTATAGTGTTATTACTCAGGTAAATACATATGAAATTAATGTGCAACATGCATTATTTGAAACTAAAGCACTGGAATTGCATTGTTATGAACATTAGTATTAGACTGTTCGTGATCATATCTTCTCCGTTGTTTTACAGTTACTTTCACTCACTAAACAGACTATATTGAAACAAATCGGTTGACCATTACATCAGTTTTATTCTTAAAACCATAACAGTGCTATACTATTCAGCTGTTAAAGAGTACCACTAGCTGAAAACAAAAGAATCAGTAGTTATAAAAAAACATTGACCATAAAATAGTTTTCAATACTCTTCTTACAATTCTCTGACCCTCTAAAAGTCTTCACTTAGAAAGGAAACCAGTCAGTATAGGGACTAAAGTCATGCTGAATGGGACCTTGCTTCAAGTTGAATAAGTTCACTGCATCTGAACAGATAACTATAATTTTTAATTAGATTGAAGAAACTCATAGGCTACCATGGGACTGCACCTTCTGACGTTGCTCCACTGCCTTGTGGATCAAACCTTTAGGTCGAAGGCTCAGGGTGTGGCCCCTTAAGATAACCGCCTGCTTCGGTTTGGGCACCCGGGCAGTATTCCAGCCCTCACACAAATCCAATAATTTATGTGGCGCATATGTATTTAGTGCCTCCTTTTACCCATGTTTATGTGTTTAAATAAATAAATACTCATAGGTTGGAAGCTATCCATGAGTTGTCAGCACTTAGTAGTAGTTCAAAAGTATTAATCGTGGTTATTATTTTCAATAAGCATTTTAGAGAATCTCAAAATACAGATATCCCCTGTATTTTGCATAACGGCATATAAAAAAATTCTGAAACCATCTTAAACCTTCCCAGTAGTATTCTTGTGAACAGTAATAAACTCTCAAATGATTTCATTTATGGATTCACGTTTATGAATAGTAACTTTTTACGATCTGTCTATGTCTTTTATCTCGAAATCAGCTATAACCTCCCTTAAGATCTCGTACAACCATGAAGTAGGTGGAATTGCATCCATTTACTTCAAATATTGTAAGTTTAAAATTTCACTACTTCTAAAACTGTTTAATCTCTATCTCCCTCTCTGAGAACAGGGAATTATCCTTACTGTTGGAAAACCGCATATATTATACCGTGGCATAAATCTAGTGGGAAAGCCAACGGAAAATTATCGGTTAACAAATATTTTTACAGCTATCTTTAGGATAATGGAAAATGTGTTGACGACATTTTCAGCTATATGCAAAGTGGATACCTAAAAGCCTGATCCTGTATGACCCATCACTATTACTTCTTTAATTTAGTCTTTACTCAATGTAGTCTAGGATGACTAGTCTTGGTGCTAGTTTGATATTTCTAGAGCTTTCGGCATTGATAACCACCAGCCTCTTATATGAAAACTCACATCTTAAGGGATCAGAGGTCACCTGCTTGCTTGGGTTAATTCCTTACTCAGTCATGGACACTAAATATTCGAAATGAATTGCTCCGTATTGGATGGTGACTCTGTCAAAAGTGGTAGTAGTGTCCTAAGTTTTTTGCTCTTTATAACTTATATAAATAATATTTGCAATCGCTTTTGTATGAGTATGTCACTTCTATATGCTAGTGGTCTGAAAATAATGTATTTTTTTTCTTCATGAGCTGAACAATGAACAAAACTGTATGAGGTGGAACTCAGTAACGTCGCTTGGTGATCCACAAAAAAGGAATCGGGAACTTATAATTGTTTAAGTTGAAGGGATCGACTTTGGTAATCTTCTTCTCGATTTTGGCTTCACCATAGACGTCAGAGTATTTTCCATGTGTCCTACAGTGGTTGAATTGGGTAGTCCTGTAATCTGTACTTCATAGAACAAGTTTTCACATACTCTTCTACGTCACAACGACGTCTGCGTTGTATACTACGTAACCTCTACAACAGTGACTCGCGTGTTTAAATGTGCAAAATATTTGTCCAGTAAATAGAAATTTTATTCTGAATAGTGTTTGAGTAAAGGATAAATGTGGATCAGAAATACTCCAGCTGCAGTTTACACTTCATATTCTTGTAAATGATTGTATTTTAAATTAAAGGCCATGTGCATTGAACTTGGGCTACTACTTTATGGAAGCGGAAACTTGTTCTTCAAAGAAACGATATGAACCATCTTTCACAAACTGTACTACAATTCAATATGCTGCAACACCTAATTACATCATTCATAACTCTGTATCAAAAGTGAAAACGTTTTATTCTAAATCTTCTCTATCATTGAGTTGGTTTATATGTAGATTTTCGAAACTCTGGAATAACATGACTTAAACTGTACGTGAAATCAAATCACTGCTATCGTTTGTTTTTTTGGCATCGATTTTTACTTCTCCTCCGATAGTGATTTAGAAATGTTTACGCCATTGAATAGATCCCACTAAACTAATAAGATTACAGAAATATTAAATGTTTGATCATTGTTGCTACAGGGCATATATTTTAAAATTCCGATGTTCGAGATGTTATACACTTACACTGTATCTAGTGAATTTGATTAAGGTAATATCTATCACAATCAGTAGGTCATAAACCAATCTAACATATGTATAATATAAGACCTATCACAGAATTGTTTGCTACCGTTTTTCCATGCTTTCTGTTCCGTTCCCTATTCTTTAGCTTTAAATAATTGCAATTACTTTGTAACTGTACGGGAATCGCCCTTTGATACATTGATTATACTTCAATAAAATGTTGTAATCCTCCTACTGAGAATAATGGTTTCTAACTGCTGTCTCACATTATTACGACTCCTATGATGAATATCTCAAAATAATTTGTGAAACAAAAATTTTCGAACAATTTAATATTGATATAGGTGATTTGTTAAAATTGTAGTTGAAATCACGGATCTATCCAAGCTAGACTACCATTGAAAATCTGTAAGCACTGTGTGGTCTTTTCACCCTAGTATGAAACTCTTCAACTGCGTACATCCACAATCCTGCACGAGGAACTGGAACCTAAGACTTTCGGTCTCGCACGCGAATGCCTTATCTTTAGACAATTGACCTGGAATTCAACAGCGTTAATATCTAGATTCATCAAACTATGACTTTGCACAACCCTTCGTCCATTACTTGTGGTGGATAACAGTCTCACGCCCGACGCGGATTGGATTCCACTGGTCACGACTTCTCACTAGAACTCCCGGAGTGACATCTTCGAGCTGGTCGCTACTGAACACATGATCGATATTAGTAGGGGGCCTTGTGAGGTTAGGCATTAATGTTGTTGTATGCTTGAGCAGTGGTTTCAAGTTCAAGTATTTGTGCGTGAGACCGAAAATCCTTGGTTTGAGTTCCTTGTGCGGGATTCTGGGTGTGCACAGCTGAAGAGTAACATACATAGACAAAATAGCTGCCCCGTGCTTCTGGGTTTTCAATGGTGGTCTAGCTTGGATAGATTCGCGATTTTAATTGTGAAAATCTAATTGCAAAATTTTGTCCTTCACGTGTAACATAGTTTTATGTATTATTATGAATATGACTAGAAATTAGCTTGAATTCCTTAATTATTTCCAAACCATTTTTACTCATTACATTTCTGTACTTGTTTCACTCTGTAAGTAGACGAGATTTCAACATCAAATTAAACTTATTTTCTGGAAAACGTGACCTATTATTTAACTATTAATTATTTTAAAGTTGTATTAATATAATAATAACAATAATAATAATAATAATAATAATAATAATAGTAATAATAATGATAATAATAATAATAGTAATAATAATAAATACTGAAGGTTTATTTATGGATTGATTTTGTCGTTAACGTAAATGTGTCAACACATAAATAGAGCAAATTAATACGAACAATCGCATATCGAACCAATTTCATTATTATTGATTATCATGTATTCATAAACAAAGTATGAGTGATATATGCATGTTTACAGTTTTGTGTTAATGAATTAATTTGTGTCCACTTGTACATAAAATGTGTATGGCTAAATTTAAATTAGACATCAAACCAGTCAGGTTTATATTTGAAATCTTATGTGTAAATATTTGTCTCTCTCAGTGTTGATCTCTATGTTATACACACACAAACTTATTCGTTTTCTAATGTTACTGTAAAGCCGAGTACACAGTATCATATTGTTCCAGGAACGTGAAAGCTTTGGGATTTACAACACCAATAGATTAAAACAGATGATAAACAATATTGTGATATCGTAAGAAGAATTTTTATCAAGTCGCTAGAATTCATAGTCGATAATATTCTATCTTGTTATTTCTTGAATTTGCTATCATGATGGAAATGGTACTATCTACAAAACATAATCCATTGGTAATAAGTTACTCGGTATTATATTATGCTCTCTTATTGACATGTAAGTAAAAAGATTATAATGAAATATGCACATTTTTTATAAAGGTATGGTGCATACAAATTCACAAACAGTATTCATTCCTGAAGTAAGTAATCAACTATTATAATTTTAAAAAAATATGAAATTATCCATTTTTTTGAATAATTTTCTAGTTTCAAGATTCAAGCTTACACTTGGAGACATTGGAAGTTTTTTGTTTTTGAGAGTCATTCATTTATATGCATCAATTAGCATTTACATTAGATAATAATTAAGGTTTCCGTTTCACTTAAGGTTAAGTCGAAGAACAAAATTCAAATGTCATTGCCAAGATTAACCGTAAGACATAGGTATATAACTCACTTGGATAATTGTAGTTTGTCGTGTTTTGTCACCGAGTTCAAAAATAGAGCTGACATATTTTCGATGATTGCTAGTAGAGCTAATCAAAGAACCACCCATATTTTAATACCTGTGAACAAATGAAGGGTTGTTGCTTTTAAAAGATTAATATTGGGGTCGCTATGTTATTCATTATGGATTGAACAATGTCCATAAGATAATAAGTAAGCTGTTGATATTTATAAAGTTTATCAGGTGCTGTCTTTGCACAACTTGGTTGGGGGTGTAAGAATAATTGACCCTAAGGATACCAAAATTAACCTTACTCCTCTGATTACCGTTTCTGGAAGAAAGGCATGGAAACTCCCGAGCTAACACACCGAAAACCGTTTATTCAGTGGACATATGTAACTGATTCAGGTAACTGACTTTTGGTCCCTGGAGTCACGATAATGGGTTGACATGACCACTGTTAACCCAGTTCCCATTCCAGACACTTTAAGAATAATATCTTTCCACGGTTTTGAAATCTGAAAAAGATAACCATCCTCATAGCTTTAGTAGCTTTCAAGGTCATGTCCGAGATCAATACCTTCCTCACTTTTTAATACTTATTCTATTCCCACTATCATCTTTCTTCTATGACTTCATCGATTTCCATACTCACCATTGACGCTAACAGCATCAAATTACAAAGTGTTACTATTGACTTGTATTCCTGGAAATGTATGACGTATAATCGACCGTTCCCTAAGTGGATATGTGATGACTGGCGGCGGAGGAATAGGTTGGGAAAAACTAAGGATGGCTATACTCAGACGAAGCATCTGTCTATGAAGTCACTAAACACTGAATTGAGTCACCTTAATAAGTTCAGGATACCTGGTTGGAGTTGTGTGATTAACGTAATTAACTGTGATAGATGAAGCGTGATGTGATATAGGTGTATTTACTATTTGTTTCCCTTCAGATTCTAAGTTTCAAAATTATTTTTTAAGCTTAATTCCGAAAACTAACTTTTTTTTCTTGAACCGTATTCCGTATACCTAACTACATTTACTACAACTGGTTCTGCTGCACTCACTACTTTAGTATTCATTTTGATAATCTCATCTTGCTGTGCTGATATGGACGACATCGGGTAGGGAGATATCATGGGACGACATGGACTGACTGAGAGAAAGAAACTCGAATGACGAGAGCTTAGCAAATTTATGTGAATTCATTAAATGCATACACATGACTACATAGGTCTCAACGGATCATACTACACAGAACCAGATCGATCATATTTGCATCAATAAAAAAGTTAGAAGATTCATGGAAGACGTGAGAACCACGAGAGAAGCAGACATAGCTTCAGTTCACCACCAACTGTTTGTGGCGAGGATGAAACTGAAGCTGAAGCAACACTACATAACTGGAGAAACATCACTATGAACATTTGATATAGCTTTCCTCCGAGACACTGACAAACTCGATGAATTGAAGATCGCTCTCAACAATAGGTTGCAAGCCTTACAGGATCTACTGAAAGAAGAAGAAACTGCCATGGAGAACAACTGGAGAGGGATGAAAGAAGCACTGACTTCAACGTGTGAGTAGGTGCTGGATGTCAAGAATGAATCTCTATGGAAAGCGTGATAAAGATTCAAGAAACGAATCTGAAGGAGGCAACAATTAACAACAATCGAACGAGAACAGAGAAAATCAAGGCACAAGCTGAATACACAGAAGTAAACAAGTAAGTGGAGTGGAGCATTAGTGATGACAAGGAGAAATGCATTGAAGATCTAGCATCGTAACAAGCTGGTAGGAAAGGAAATATATATGAGAACTGAATGATACAACAAGGGGGCGAGCAAGGTAATATGGTAAACCAGAGGGAACAATCAAGGACAGAGAAGGCAAGCTAACCACTGGGATTGGAAAACAGCTTCCTTGATTATGACAAAGAGTTTAACAGTGTGGATAGGAGAACCCTGTGGATCGTTCTCCGATACTGTAGTGTTAGTAGCTGAGAACATCGCTAACAGCATGAAGATTTCATACAACGGAATACACTGCCAAGTCATTTATGGAGGACAGCTTGGAGACGCTTTCTGATTAATGACCGGATTCGGACAAAACTGCCCATTCTCCCCCTATCTATTTCTTCTGTTAGTCGTTTGGATTATGAAGTCCTCAAGATCTGAGGCGAATCATGGAATACAATAGACAGCCCAGATGTGACTAGACTACGTGGACTTTGCAGATGACCTATCTCTTCTATCCCATACACACAAAGAAATACATGTGAGGATAGCCAGTGTAATAGTAGCATTTTCAGGAGTAGATTTCAACATACGCAAAGGAAGAAGTAACATCCTCAAACCTTAACTCGGAGAACGCCAACTCGATCACACTTGATGGAGAAGCATTGAATGAGGTGGAAACGGTCTTAGATGTTTTTCTGATATGAACAGACTGCGTTAGTAGAATAAAATTGATAGCTGGAATATTTCTTTCCTGACTAATTCTGAAAACGACAGAATTCGATTTATTTGGCATTTTAATGTCCAACACATACATTCTGTCCACTAAGTAAATGAGTCACGATGCCTACCCAAATGTTCAACGGATATGATCTTTATTATTTTTTAACAGGTTTGTGTTTTCCTGTTGTTTCCTCTGAGTTTCAGTCAAATCATCAACATTAAGATGAAGATACGTTGAAATAACGTAACGGGATTTCACTTCTAGCCATTATTCAAAAATATAAAGAAAAAATTTATTGACATCAAACAACGTTATAAGGAAACAAAACTCTGGTTTTGAACGAAGATATCATAGAAGTATGAAAAAACAGTGGTGGAACCTGTATATCGTACAGTATTTCTCTTAAAACATATAAATTGAATGTACTCGGTTAGCTTCAATATCATTTATTGAAAACGATGCTAATCGTTTGTATAATAACGGTAGAAACTGACCAATTCACCTTAAGTCTCAACTCATAATGTTTCATAAGTCTTTATTTATAGTAGCGATTCGTATCATTGTAATAATATATGATTGTGTTTTCCAATACAAAAATCGCTTTTAATTGCTTAAAGTTATCAGAATTCATAGAGCACACAAAGAAAAACGAATCTACTGTAAAAGGACTGCTAGTCGACTTATTAACTGCTGACAATCTATCACAAGTTCAATATTCAATTCAGAGTATACCAGTTAGACTGAATGTTTCACTTACGAATGTAGAATATTGTCTCAGTATGGTAAGAATATTTTCGAAATATATCTAATGTTTTTTTAATAGAAGGAGCTTTTTGATTTTTAAATGGATTAACAGTTGTTCTGTGAGGAAAACTATATTTATTTTAAGTTTTAAACTCTTATATCTTAAGCGAAGACTAAAATTAACTACTTTAATCGTTAACTGTATATCCCCATCAATGAAAGTCTTAAAGAGTTTAACTTATGGGTGATAGATAGCACCGTCCTATGAAGATGGTTAATGCTTGATCAATATTTGAAAGGAATATCATAATATTGAATATAAAGTGATTTGCATAATTAGATGACTCATGTAGTGAATTAAATTATTTTTATTATCGTTACAAGTTTCACTAATCGATAAAGTCAGTATCACATTGACTACTATCAAGTGAATAGCGTAGAGTTCCATGCGCATCATTGAATTTCTCAACAATGAAAATCGTGATATTATTTGACATGAAAACTTACGGTGGGGTCACGGACGTGCACAGTTGAGGAGTCACATTATGGAACGAAACTTATGTCCATTGCTTGTTTTAGGAAGAACACAAAGAATGAGTTGAATAGACTTATTTATTTACCACTATTACTCCTCGTGAAGGAGCATAAGCCGCTCACCAGCATTCTCCATCCAACCCTGTCCTCGATAATCCTTTCCAGCTCCTTCCAGTTGTAATTCATCCTTTTCATATCTGCGTCTATCTCCCGACGTAATATGTTCTTTGGCCTTCCTCTTTTCCACTTCCCTTCAGGATTCCAAGTTAGTGCTTGCCTCGTGATGCAGTTTGATGATTTGCGTAATGTATGTCCTATCCATTTCCATCGTCTTTTCCTAATTTCTTCTTCAGCTGGAAGCTGATTTGTTCTCTCCTAGAGAAGGCTATCGCTGATTGTATTCGGCCAATGGATGCTGAGTATCTTGCGTAGACACCTATTTATAAATACTTGTACCTTCTTGATGGTGGTTGTTGTAGTTCTTCAAGTTTCAGCTCCGTACAGTAGAACTGACTGTCTTGACGTTCGTATTGAAGATTGTGACTTTGATATTGGTTGACGGTTGTTTTGAGTTTCATATGTTCTTCAATTTAAGGAGTGCGGCCCTTGCTTTTCTAATCCTCGCCTTTACCTCTGCATCTGAACCTCCTTGTTCATCGATGATGCCACCAACCAGGTATGTGAAGGATTCTACATCTTCCAGAGTTTCGCCATCAAGAGTGATTGGATTGCTGTTCTCCGTTTTGAATTTGAGGACCTTGGTTTTCCCCTTGTGTATTTTGAGGCCTACTAATGTAGAGACTGCTACTACACTGGTTGTCTTTATCTGCATTTGTTTGTGTGTATGAGATAGGAGGGCTAGGTCATCTGCGAAGTCTAAATGGTTTAATTGGTTCTGGTCTGTCCATTATATGGCGTGTCGTGGTCTTCATAATGCAGTCGACCACCAGAAGAAAGAGGAAGGGGAGAAATTGAATAGAACAACCACGCAAATGCATTCTATCCATTTTATTTATATTTAAAAACCCATGTAGTGACAGAAATTAATATTGATGTGTAAGTCAACATTTACACCAATAATATAATTCTGTTTGAACAATTATCATATCAAACTGTTATTGACTTGTTGTTCAGAAACTGGTGTTATATTTTATCTGAGGAATAGCTACTAATAAGAACAGTCAAACCTGTGTATAATTTCAGATGCTTATTCTTGTAATTCGGTTTTTATTATAGACTTCCATCGACGGAAAAACAAGGTATAATTGACACCTTTTTATAGATTTGTACTTTTTGGTGTCCATTCATGACTTCAAGTACATGAGCTTCAAGTTTCTTCAGTAACTAGGTCCCTTTAGAAACTGAGTTTGAATTCAGTTATCAAGTGGTTTAGCACTTTTTTAAAGCCTCTTTTATCTGAGTCTCTTAAGAGTCTCAATCTAAAAAGTAAAAATTATCTGAAGCTCTCTGTTTCTTAGCATTCAAAATCATTGTTCAATATGTTAAATAAAAATGCATGTTATAATTATTTTCTTTCTTCATTAAAGTACTAGATAAGACAGCAGATATTTAGGTAAATACTTCTGTTGTTGAACTTATCATATTTTCAAAACCACTTTTTTTTTAAAAATTTATCTTTCATTTAGCTTTTAACCAACAATCAAAGCTTATGTCTTTTTCAATTCTCTTCTGATATTCTAATGAACATGGAAAATAGTTCATTAACCCTTGTAAATAATAAACATACATTGCCTTACATAACTAGATCATTTACTCAACTCAAACCAGTATTAATTATGAAATGTTTCAAAAATAATTGTTCAAGTCAATTAGATTCATCATTTTTAAACGGAATGTATTTTTTATATACATTCCATTCATCTGTTTGGTCATTAATTCTACTATATACATTGACAGTAAGTATACATTGCTATAATATTAATAAGTATTCATTTGTATTGAACTATTTTCAAAGTTATTGTGATTTTTATTGGGTTGCTTGTGTTTGTGGAGATTACCTATAATTTAAATGTGATTTTTGTTAAATGATGAAATAAGTTTACGAACTGTCGAAATTAAAAAAATAACTGATCATCGTTTGTTATCATTTAGTAATTTACATTCAAAGTTTTATCGAATCTTCAGATCTAATCTCAAACATAACTTTATTGAAACCACTTGTGATCAACTTTAAATTAGAAATTTTAATATATGCTATGACACGGGAAGGAAAATAAGTCTGCAATGAAAACACCTTTCCACAGTTCATATTTGAGTAAATTGTGTTTTTCCAACTGTGGTAGAACATATAGACCATACATGCCATGTGATATGAGATAATGTTTAGCCTTTGATAGATTTATGTCTAACATGAAAGTACACTTTGGTAAGAGAGTATACAGAACACTGTAGGATTCTGAAAGAGAAAAGAATGAGAGGAAATTAAGCAAATGATCCAGTTAAGACGAAAAATGTATAGAATTTTAAGGGTGAAAGTTGTTAATAACAACTAATAATGACACAATTGTATCGTTGAGATCACCTTATAATAAAAACTAAAAGTTTGCAGAGTAAAGTTTCGTATGAATTACATAAACTCATTAGTTTCGATCTTGTATTCAAGTAAAATAGATGTCATAAACTATAATAATTTCTGATTGATTAATAATTTCTTGCTATTTGCAATGACCAAAACTTATGTACATTTCTTCATCACCTCAAATTTTATATTTAAACAGACCGGTTCATTGTTATTTGTGTTCGAGTATACAAGACCCTCATGTGAGAAATATACAAAAATTTCACCTTCAAATGAACCAAGTTTAAATTTATGGGATTCATACGTGTACGTTATTATGGGATTATTCTTACAATGTAAGTAATTGATTTATCTGGTAGTGTCAGTACGTCATCTACAGTGTTTAAGAATATTATTAATAGGTATCTGTCCTGTTGTGATATGGTTATCTGTTTACAGAAACGTGTTTTAACTAATGACTCATATGTTGAAATCGTGATTCATATTGAAGAACATCGTTAACTATTGGTATTTATCCAATTGTTTTGTACCATTATCTCTTATTTTTTTCCTTAAATGTACTGTCTCTTAGCATAAAAAATGATAAAACTCACAAAGCGTTGGATTTAACTTGAACAGCATGTAAATCTTTTTCATGAGGCCTATGGTAGATCCACCGCTTACAATAAGTGGCTTATGACGGTCGACATTGAGAGTGAGATTCAGGCTTTGTACCAGTTATCTCTTGTCTGAAAGATGTACCTATAACAATAAGGTTACTGATACTCTATGTGGGATTTGGGCAACATGACTGATAAATTTAATCGCAACAATGAACTAGACAAACTTAATATTGCTTACTACTCTGCGATCAATCAGTGAACGTACCATATTGAAGTCAATGCTGAAATGAAGTAAACACATATTATAATTTAATGGTTGGACATGTTAAGATTTATCAGCAAGATTAATCAGCGACTTCGAAGATTCTATGAAATCTGAACTAATGTCACATAGACAATCACAGATGACGTTAGTAAATTTTCAGCTTCTAACTGAATCTCTATGAAAAACACCCACATCAATAATCTTCAAGTAGTTAGTTAACAATGTTACACTGTTCATTCACACTGAGTTTTTTTTTACAAAATTTTATACATTTTCAAAAATATGTAGTTAAGCATAGAATGATTATTCTATGATTTAATATGTGATTTAGATACTATTTCGGCTAAGCTTTTAATTAAACATCTAAGTGACTTGAACTTAAATTTTAGTTTTCCATGATGATTTCAAATAAGATGAATGCTTGATAAAATGAACGAATTCAGGTTACACAATTTCTCTATGGTTTTACGAAAATTTAGATCCAGCTTTACGGAAGCTAAGCTGAATAGGTGGATTGTTCACCTAACCTTCATAAATGTTTAGTTTTGTTTGTAAGCTTAGATCTACACAAAATTTGTGGGTATATTCATTCAGCATTCGATAATATTCCAACATAAGCCGTTTTATCTTCTTCCCTAGTCTAGTTGGATTAGTCAAGCATTTGGAAAGTAAATAATAGCGGAATTAAACAATCAATAATGCCAATCCGACAGAGCAAATTTTTGAATGTCATGGTGTATACTCATTTAGGCAAATCTTTCGTACTCGTTGTGTAATATGAAAAATAAATAATTTCCTGGTTTGTGCTATAAATTTCGAAAAATCTGGTCAAAGACATACTTCCCATGATATTTGTGTAGGAAACTAGGGTAATTACTTCGTTTAAAATTTGTGCCGCAAATACATAATATTTTTTCAAATCAACTCTGTCTTCTCATTACACTATTATAATAAGTAGAAGAAATAGTTTTAAGTTTTGCTCAATAAGTACTTTAGTAGTTATGACATAACTAGCATTCAAGTTAGAGATAAGACAGTGTACAAGCTTGATGGCATGAAATTGTTGTTCGACTTAAGCACTCTTTAAAGTACAAACCAATCAGCATTGTGTATAAACATCAAAACTTTCATACTTTATAATGGGGATTAATTGTTTTGAATGCCTGTGACGTAAGTTTTGACCGACGAGTTATTCACTTTCATATGTAACACTGCCAGCAAAATAAAATCACTAGAAATTTTCTCTTAATAAATATTAATATCTGAATCGGTACAAATCTAAAATGGAGTTGTATGTTTTTTTAAAAAAAATATTACTCGTACTTTGGTGCCACAGTTTGAATAAAAGTTAAACCATAATAAAGGTAATAATCAATGAAAAACTATCATTATCTGATTTTGAATAATACCCAGTCTGCAAGAAGGATGGCAACCCTTTTAAGGTTGAAAACTATTGGTGAATTCGCTTTCTTCATTAAAAAATTCAAACCATTAATATGACTTCCGCCTTTAACAATTACAATGAAGTCGATTGCATACTTATAGTTGAGTGTTCAAATTTCTGTGATCTGACCATCTTCCTAAATACCACAACTAATTAATTATTTTCAAAGACGCTATTCTAAACCAAAATATTTGGTATATAGCTTAAACCTTTACGTATGATGCGATTCCCTTATGAAGAGCCACATGAGACGGTCATCCAGTCCTAAATGATTTTCACTAGTAATCTATCTAAGATCATTCGGTGATTTAAACTTCAAAATGTTTTGATCTGATTTGATGAGTAATTCTGGTTTTTATTTATAAACGAATATAGTTTAACATATAAGCATAGATCACATGGATATTTCTAATATATTTATACGATTTTATAATATTGTTTGAAATTATATCATTTTTGACAAACAAATGAACTATTTTAGCTGCCATTAACCATTTATCGAAAAATTCGTCGACATAGCAATTCCCTTCGGGAAAGTAATTTGATATGCTATGCAGTTTAATTTCAAGAATAGCAGTTGATTGATGAAATAAATTACTTTACCAAAATGCATTGGTGAGAAATCAATACACCTTGAAAGTACATTTGTATCATAATTCACGCAAACGCCTGTGAAGCACTGACCACAAGATGACTGGAAAGCTGTATTTATCTTATTTTGGTACTGTTTTATAGTGTATATACCCGATTATCACATGAAAGATGGAATGGGTGGCTTAAAACATGAAGGTTGTGAATTTTATGCCATGTTAAAATGTCATTAAAGAATTTTAAACCGTGATGAGAAAGCTGTTCACTCCTACTTGATTTCTAATGGATCACCAGCTGAAGTCAGCTTTTGACATAAAATACATTACCGTAAAAATACACCATTAAAATACTTGCAAAAGATAGCTATATACTATGATACAACGGTCAAATAATATATCAGAAAAATATTTTTTTCCGAAAATCTCTTGTAAATGAGACTGAATACATTTTTGCTAATTTTAAATATAATTGAAAAGGAATTTCTCGTTGTGAGATGATAAAATGTTATAATTGAGGTGAAATGTAGCTAAGAAGATCGTCAATGCAGCAACAAATTAGTAAGGAATTAAAGGTCTAAAGCGAAAATGATAGAAGGGGAGTGAATGGCTGTGAAAGAAGAATGAAGAAATCGTAAGTGATTAAGAAGATGATGGAAGAAAAGGTTTTATGAATTTCTTTTGTACACATTTTATTTTAAGATATAGTGATCAAATACTTCATTCTGTGTTATTATAGTTATCATAAATCTTTTTTTCTTTTTCTTAACTAATTACAATACATTGAAAATATCTTAGTACAAAGTTAGAGGTATGTTTTCTAACTTTGCTTTCTTGGCTAGATAACTTAACTTAATAATACACAGCGGTATCACTGAACACAGCAGCAGACTGGAAACATCAAAAATTAACTTCTTTTAACTTCTATGCTCTTTCAATAACTTGTTGATCGCAGTATAAAAGGTTATTCAATCGAATAACAATCAATAGCTATTACAGTTCATCATGTACTTGTTAACCAATTACTAAATTACTTACGCCTGTTACTCCTCGTGAAGGAGCATAAGCCGCTCACCAGCATTCTCCATCCAACCCTGTCCTCGATAATCCTTTCCAGCTCCTTCCAGTTGTAATTCATCCTTTTCATATCTGCGTCTATCTCCCGACGTAATATGTTCTTCGACCTTCCACTTTTCCGCTTCCCTTCAGAATTCCAAGTTAGTGCTTGCCTCGTGATGCAGTTTGACGATTTGCGTAATGTATGTCCTATCCATTTCCATCGTCTTTTCCTAATTTCTTCTTCAGCTGGAAGTCGGTTTGTTCTCTCCTAGAGAAGGCTATTGCTGATTGTATTCGGCCAATGGATGCTGAGTATCTTGCGTAGACACCTATTTATAAATACTTGTACCTTCTTGATGGTGGTTGTTGTAGTTCTTCAAGTTTCAGCTCCGTACAGTAGAACTGACTGTCTTGACGTTCGTATTGAAGATTGTGACTTTGATATTGGTTGACGGTTGTTTTGAGTTTCATATGTTCTTCAATTTAAGGAGTGCGGCCCTTGCTTTTCTAATCCTCGCCTTTACGTCTGCATCTGAACCTCCTTGTTCATCGATGATGCCACCAACCAGGTATGTGAAGGATTCTACATCTTCCAGAGTTTCGCCATCAAGAGTGATTGGATTGCTGTTCTCCGTTTTGAATTTGAGGACCTTGGTTTTCCCTTTGTGTATGCTGAGGCCTACTGATGCAGAGACTGCTGCCACACTGGCTGTCTTTATCTGCATCTGTTCATGTGTATGAGATAGGAGGGCTAGGTCATCTGCGAAGTCCAAATCGTCTAATCGATTCTGACATGTCCATTGTATTCCGTGTTTTCCTTCAGATGTCGTGGTCTTCATAATGCAGTCGACCACCAGAAGAAAGAGAAAGGGAGAGAGTAAACAGCCTTGTCTGACTCCAGTCCTTAATTGGAATGCATCTGTCAGCTGTCCTCCATGCACGACCTTGCACTGTAGTCCGTCGTGTGAGTTCCGGATAATGTTGACAATCTTCTCAGAAACTCCGTAGTGTCGAATAAGCTTCCATAACGTCCTCCTATCTACACTGTCGAATGCCTTTTTATAATTAATGAAGTTGATGTATAGTGACGAGTTCCATTCAACTGATTGTTCGACGATGATCCGTAGTGTCGCAATTCGGTCTGTGCACGACCGATCCTTACGGAATCCAGCCTATCGATCTTGAAGTTAGGTGTCGACTGCATCCTTCATCCGGTTCAGCAAAACTCTGTTGAAGACTTTCCCTCGTACAGACAATTGTGTAATGCCTCTGTAGTTTTCACATTTGCTCAGATGTCTTTTCTTTGAAATCTTGATGAGATGTCCTTCTTTCCGCTGTTGTTGAATTTCAGTGATTGGCCTACCTTCTTTGCCCTTTACCGGTCTCTCTGGTTTACTATATTTCCCTGCTAGTTTCTTCGTTGTATCGTAAAGCTGTTTCATATTTCCTTCTCTAGCAGCTTTTTCTGCCGTCGTTGCTAGTTCTTCCACGTACTTCTTCTTGTCGGTTCTAATGCTCTTCTCCACTTGCTTGTTTGCTTCTATGTATTCAGCTTGTGCTTGGACTTTCTCTGCTCGTGTTCGGCTGTTGTTAATTGCTGTCTTCTTGTTCTTCCTTGCTTTGATCCTGTCCAGTGTTTCTACAGAGATCCATTCCTAATGATGATACTTCTTGAGGCCCAGAACCTCTCGACACGTTGAAGTTAATGTTTCTTTAATGCCTTTCCAGTTGTCCTCCATAGTAGTTTCTTCTTCTTTCAGTAGATCCTGTAAGGTTTGGAACCTGTTGTTGAGATCCATCTTGAATTCATTGAGTTTGTCAGTGTCTCGAAGGAAGGCTGTATTAAACCTTTGTAATGCTGTTTGTCCACTTGTCCAGTTCCTTTTTAGCTTCAGTTTTAAATTGGCCACAACTAGGTGGTGATCTGAATCTATGTCAGCTCCTCTCCTGGTTCTCACATCTTCCATTGTTCTTCGGAACGTTTTGTTGATGGAGATATGATCTATCTGGTTCTCTGTAGTGTGGTCCGTTGAGATTCATGTAGCCTTGTGTATACGCTTGTGTGGAAATATTGTGCTTCCTATGACCAATTTGTTGAATGCACACGGATTTGCAAATCTTTCCCCATTTTCGTTTCTCTCTCCCAGTCAATCCATGTCGTCCCATGATATCTTCATATCCGGTGTTGTCTATTCCGACTTTGGCATTTAGATCTCCCATTAGAATGGTGAGGTCCCTTCTTGGGCATTTCTCTACGATTGACTGCAGCCTTTCACAGAATTGATCTTTAATGTCGTCGTTGCTATCATTGGTGGGTGCATAACACTGGATAATATTTATTGTGATCCCCTCCTTTGTTTTGAATGATGCTTTGATGATTCTGGATCCGTGAGATTCCCATCCTACAAGTGCATTTCGTGCTACTTTGGGCAGCATTAGAGCGACTCCCTGTGTGTGTAGAGCATTTTCTTCTTTGTGATCGGAGTATAGCAGCATCTCTTCCGTATTTAGCCTTTGTTGTCCAGCTTGGGTCCAGTGGGTTTCGCTGATTCCCAGTACTGACAAGTTGTATCTCCTCACTTCCGTTGCTATTTGACTGGTCTTCCCGGTCTCCCACATTGTTCGGACGTTCCATGTACCTACAAAAATTGTTGCTCTGGTTGTTAGAAGGGGCATCGGCCTCGTGGCTTCCGAAGGAACTCGGCTTTCACCATGAAGCTTCATAATTCTTCTAAATGAAGACCTTCTAACTCCCATGGCAGAGTAAAAATGGTTTGAATTATTTTTTCTGGTAAGCGTTTTTTTAGCGAGTTAGTTTTCTACGGGATGGGGACGCTAACCCCATGCCTAAACCTCCTCCTTTACCCAGGTTTGGGACCGGCAGTAACTCTAGAAGAGCTACACGCGGAGTTTGTTAATCAATTACATGGACTATATTCAAAAGTCTATTGATTTCGAAAGCAGATTCGTATTTATAAATTTAAGCCTATTTTGTGTGAAATGCTTCTTTTTTGAACATATCTGTCAATCAACTACTTCATTTTTCTTTTAAACTTAAGTGCAGAGGAAAACTAAAAGGTGGATAAACTTCATTGAAGTATTATAAACCACTTTTAATTTCTAAATAGGTCTTACAATGAAATATTAACAGTATTATCACACTCTTAATATTTTTCTTTGAAATTTAGCCTCATACAAATTGCCTAAATCATGGGGCGGAATAACAATAACTTTATTCTGGCATGCATTTTGTTTAATATGCATTATTGCCTATGCAATGGGTACATCAGTGTTGATTTTCAAACAGTATACCGATAATGACTTGAAATATCAACCTTATTTAAACAGTCAGAACCAAACAATCTATTGTGATTTAAATCCAAATGTATGTAATTATTTTGAAAAGAAGTTCTCTTTTCCAATGAAATTGGTAAACGGGAAACTTTCATCAGATGAGATTAATACATCAGTGATAATATTAACAGATCATATTCATGGTCATTATCTACAGTCATTAAAACATCGAAATACTGATTGGAATTATATTAAGTTAGATTGTAATGAAGATGAAAAAGATAATGGTGAGATTGTTAATGACAGTGGAAATTTCCAAGATATGCCTCTAATGGAAATGGGATTTTTAACATTCAGTGAAAAATCACTCTGGAAAATGAATGTATACTTGAAAGTGAGTTTAATGTTTGAAAATTTCAAAATAACCATGAAATAGTTTTGTTAATGGATGGCTAAAAACAGTTATTCGCGTATTGACTTCACCTTGTGAACTATTGAGAATCTGACAATAGTGGATAGCTATCTCGTCCTAGTTTGTGACCACTTCTTGATTTCTAAGGGTTCCACAATTGACATCTGTAAATGAAGAAAAAGATTTAATGAATATTCACCTAATCTGCACAATCTGAATTATTAGCGAAATAGATTTCATATTGAGTCCAAACTTTTCTCAAAAGTTACGTCCAGTTGCCTAACGTTTGTGTATATTTGTGTGCTACCTGGGAAATCACAACATATCAGGCTACAATCTTGCTTTAACATTAATGTTAATAGGTTAGTTTAAACCTGATTGTAATTTACATATTTTTGCAAATTTCATCATCATATTCACTATTATTCAAATCAAGCTGCTGATCAGATCCATTACACGTTAATTACAGTTAATACAAATTGAAACACAGTTACTAAGTTGTTTATAGCATAACAGCATGGTATATTTAATTTAAAAATAAAGTAGAAAGACCCTAGTATTTTTTGAAATTTTATTATACAGGTGACTGGTTGCGTAAAATGTAAGCATATTTCATTAGCTACTTTTATTGACTTCATTTCGGTCAGTTTAACTTTTTAGCACGAAAATTCGTTAGTTTTTTTTTAATTCCTAAATTCAAGATTTTGTATTTTTATCAATAAATCTGGGTCATTAATTTTGATGATCTCTTTTATCAGTCCTAATAGTATCGTGACCATTTTATTCCACCTACTAATTCTACTGATCATTTTATTAATAGGAATAAAGTGAACTGAATGGGGAAATAAGTATTCTTAAGACGTATCATATAATCCAAAATCCCTTTGCCCTCAATAGAAAAAAGGGCAGAATCTTCATCCGAATTGGGGTGTTTTTTTAATTAACCACATTCAACTCTGTTCATTACACCCACAATTAATAAACAAACAAACTCAAATTTTAACTGTACACTTTCACATTATAATTTCACTTTTTTTATACCTACCATCAAATACACATAAACTCAGTGATGTCTCACACAGAATCAACTTGACTAAAAATAGAATAACATTCATATATTCAGACATATTTTAGTTTTGACTGTATCAAAAACATTCAGCTCTTTTTCCTATGTGTTGTCCAAACTTGTGATGAGTTAGTTCGGTTATTTATTTGTTTATTTCGAAGAAGTAGTTTACATTAGGTCATGAAGTTTCAGAAGTTCAAATTACTACTCATGGGGGGATATCATAAATATATCTTCAAATAGTTACTGACCCCTTTTAACTAAATAGTTGATAAAAATCTGGTTAATAATTTATATTTCTCACCATAGACTAATAATAATTAGATATTTTAAACTATGCAGTCCTCTATAAATTAATTGTTATTTGTCCTTTCAAATCTATCATTATTTTAAATAGTTTCTTCCTATCTGTTTTCCCATATCATATTTTCAAGTACTTACAGGATTCTGGAAGACTCTATAGCATACAATATAAAAATGAACAGGCATTTGACTTTACAACTAAACTTCAAGTACATAACAATTTATGCGTAACAAAAGAAGACAGAAATTCAAAAATTCCAATACGTTTAAAACAAATGAACGGACCATTGTTATTTATGATTATCGGAGGCTTATGTGCTGTTCTTATGCATATAAGTGAATATATTTATTATATTGTTATGAATAGATAATTTTCCAAAGATTTATTTCCTCTGGAGAAATTATTCCTTGAATCATTAAAAACTAATTGACACATAAATAAGTAAACTTTTATCTATTGGTCACTGTGTTTAGTTTACGATGGCTAGAATTGATTTACCAATTAGTGGTGATCAATAAGAGCTTAATTTGCAAATGTATTATTAACACCTATTGATATGATTGAATGCATTAATATGAATAAATATACTATTTTATTGACATAGTTTTCTTTATTAACATCGGATGAACTACGACTTTATCAGTACGATATGAATCCATATTATTTCACTAACCACTCATCAAGTGGAGTATTCGTGCAACCGAAATAGAACAAAATGTGTAAAAGTGTTTATATAGAGAGACTATAATTTATGGACGAACCAATCAGATATATGATAATGAGTCATGAATTTTGGCGCGAAATTCATTCATACATTTGGCTAAATAGAGTTTTCGCGTTAAAGCTGATGTCATTTCGTGGTGAAAACCCAAAATCTAATTTTAACCCTAACCATCAACTGTAAATGAAAATTCTAACTGGTTTATAACACTCATTTAGTCCTAACCAGTATGTGTTCACTCTTAAGGTCACTTGAACGTCGCTCAAAGGTCGTCCACACATGATAGTCTCACTAAACAATTTATCTACCAAACCACATATTGACTGATCTTTTAGTATTGATAGTTGAGTTGTTCAATACTCAATTATTAAATTGAATAGAACTGTTACAAATCGCTGAAAAATGTGAACATCGCGGCAAAACGTCACGCCATGAGTTTTCGTGAACTTGTGCACACGCTTTACTGATTTGTTCATCATAGTATTTTTAGGTTAACATGAGATTTCTGTTATGTATTTTCAATAGTCACTTAAAAAGTTGTATCAAATAAAGATAACAATGAACATAGTTAGCACGCTTTATATCTTTAACTTTTTTAGATCCTATCAATGCAAAATGTTGTACTATTCTGAAATGAATTATTCGCTGAAAGGCTCAGTTATACGGAAAGTGATTTGCTTGTAACATAGTAATGGGTAAAATAGTGAATCCCATACCTTAAGCATTGTTGTATAAGGCATTTCCTAAGATAGTTAATTTATAGATGATATCAGTACTGAGTATCTTTTTCATCCTAGACTATTTTCTTTTTGCGGACAAGTAACAATCGAAAATCAGACACTGAAACATTGTCACCTAGATAAACAGATAACTATAGTTTATTCTGAACTTTGTTAAGTAGCAGTACAAGTATCACTTGAATAATTTACAATCAAAAGGTCATAACTAAAAGAACAGCTTGCACTGTAAAGTTAAAGTGCATCATATATTGATGCACAGTATGTATATGCAACTAAAATAACACCAATAATCTATTCATAGAAAAATCTACTTACTTTCCGATTGAATCAACTAATCACCAAATGTTTTGTAAAGATGATTCGCCATTCTTGTTGATTTTATTATGAATGTATCTCATTATGAAACTCCGCCTGTTGCTCTTCTAGAGTTACTGCCGGTCCCAAACCTGGGTAAAGGAGGAGCGTTGAGCATGTGGTTAGCAACCCCATCCCGTAGAAAACTAACTCGCTAAAAAAACGCTTACCAGAAAAAATAATTCAAACCATTTTTACTCTGCCTTGGGAGTTAGAAGGTCTTCATTTAGAAGAATTATGAAGCTTCATGGTGAAAGCCGAGTTCCTTCGGAAGCCACGAGGCCGATGCCCCTTCTAACAACCAGAGCAACAATTTTTGTAGGTACATGGAACGTCCGAACAATGTGGGAGACCGGGAAGACCAGTCAAATAGCAACGGAAGTGAGGAGATACAACTTGTCAGTACTGGGAATCAGCGAAACCCACTGGACCCAAGCTGGACAACAAAGGCTAAATACGGAAGAGATGCTGCTATACTCCGATCACAAAGAAGAAAATGCTCCACACACACAGGGAGTCGCTCTAATGCTGCCCAAAGTAGCACGAAATGCACTTGTAGGATGGGAATCTCACGGATCCAGAATCATCAAAGCATCATTCAAAACAAAGGAGGGGATCACAATAAATATTATCCAGTGTTATGCACCCACCAATGATAGCAACGACGACATTAAAGATCAATTCTGTGAAAGGCTGCAGTCAATCATAGAGAAATGCCCAAGAAGGGACCTCACCATTCTAATGGGAGATCTAAATGCCAAAGTCGGAATAGACAACACCGGATATGAAGATATCATGGGACGACATGGATTGACTGGGAGAGAGAAACGAAAATGGGGAAAGATTTGCAAATCCGTGTGCATTCAACAAATTGGTCATAGGAAGCACAATATTTCCACACAAGCGTATACACAAGGCTACATGAATCTCAACGGACCACACTACAGAGAACCAGATAGATCATATCTCCATCAACAAAACGTTCCGAAGAACAATGGAAGATGTGAGAACCAGGAGAGGAGCTGACATAGATTCAGATCGCCACCTAGTTGTGGCCAATTTAAAACTGAAGCTAAAAAGGAACTGGACAACTGGACAAACAGCATTACAAAGGTTTAATACAGCCTTCCTTCGAGACACTGACAAACTCAATGAATTCAAGATGGATCTCAACAACAGGTTCCAAACCTTACAGGATCTACTGAAAGAAGAAGAAACTACTATGGAGGACAACTGGAAAGGCATTAAAGAAACATTAACTTTAACGTGTCGAGAGGTTCTGGGCCTCAAGAAGTATCATCATTAGGAATGGATCTCTGTAGAAACACTGGACAGGATCAAAGCAAGGAAGAACAAGAAGACAGCAATTAACAACAGCCGAACACGAGCAGAGAAAGTCCAAGCACAAGCTGAATACATAGAAGCAAACAAGCAAGTGGAGAAGAGCATTAGAACCGACAAGAAGAAGTACGTGGAAGAACTAGCAACGACGGCAGAAAAAGCTGCTAGAGAAGGAAATATGAAACAGCTTTACGATACAACGAAGAAACTAGCAGGGAAATATAGTAAACCAGAGAGACCGGTAAAGGGCAAAGAAGGTAGGCCAATCACTGAAATTCAACAACAGCGGAAAGAAGGACATCTCATCAAGATTTCAAAGAAAAGACATCTGAGCAAATGTGAAAACTACAGAGGCATTACACAATTGTCTGTACGAGGGAAAGTCTTCAACAGAGTTTTGCTGAACCGGATGAAGGATGCAGTCGACACCTAACTTCAAGACCGATAGGCTGGATTCCGTAAGGATCGGTCGTGCACAGACCGAATTGCGACACTACGGATCATCGTCGAACAATCAGTTGAATGGAACTCGTCACTATACATCAACTTCATTAATTATAAAAAGGCATTCGACAGTGTAGATAGGAGGACGTTATGGAAGCTTATTCGACACTACGGAGTTTCTGAGAAGATTGTCAACATTATCCGGAACTCATACGACGGACTACAGTGCAAGGTCGTGCATGGAGGACAGCTGACAGATGCATTCCAAGTAAGGACTGGAGTCAGACAAGGCTGTTTACTCTCTCCCTTTCTCTTTCTTCTGGTGGTCGACTGCATTATGAAGACCTCGACATCTGAAGGAAAACACGGAATACAATGGACATGTCAGAATCGATTAGACGATTTGGACTTCGCAGATGACCTAGCCCTCCTATCTCATACACACGAACAGATGCAGATAAAGACAGCCAGTGTGGCAGCAGTCTCTGCATCAGTAGGCCTCAGCATACACAAAGGGAAAACCAAGGTCCTCAAATTCAAAACGGAGAACAGCAATCCAATCACTCTTGATGGCGAAACTCTGGAAGATGTAGAATCCTTCACATACCTGGTTGGTGGCATCATCGATGAACAAGGAGGTTCAGATGCAGACGTAAAGGCGAGGATTAGAAAAGCAAGGGCCGCACTCCTTAAATTGAAGAACATATGAAACTCAAAACAACCGTCAACCAATATCAAAGTCACAATCTTCAATACGAACGTCAAGACAGTCAGTTCTACTGTACGGAGCTGAAACTTCGAGAACTACAACAACCACCATCAAGAAGGTACAAGTATTTATAAATAGGTGTCTACGCAAGATACTCAGCATCCATTGGCCGAATACAATCAGCAATAGCCTTCTCTAGGAGAGAACAAACCGACTTCCAGCTGAAGAAGAAATTAGGAAAAGACGATGGAAATGGATAGGACATACATTACGCAAATCATCAAACTGCATCACGAGGCAAGCACTAACTTGGAATTCTGAAGGGAAGCGGAAAAGTGGAAGGTCGAAGAACACATTACGTCGGGAGATAGACGCAGATATGAAAAGGATGAATTACAACTGGAAGGAGCTGGAAAGGATTATCGAGGACAGGGTTGGATGGAGAATGCTGGTGAGCGGCTTATGCTCCTTCACGAGGAGTAACAGGCGGAAGTAAGTAAGTAATCTCATCATGATGTCAAAAGCTGTAAACTGAAACGTTTTAGTTTGAGTTATGATACAGTGCATAGATATATTTGTAACTTGTTAAGTGGACACTTATTAGAAACATTTATCTCTTCAAAAAGTAAAGTTCTAATCAAGTAGCAATGTGAAGTATAACAGTTCAAAATAAGGGAGTTTATTATTGTGGAAGAAGAAAGAAATAACTCTGTCACCTGTTTTCATATATATGTAATTTCTCGGTTAAACTACATGTTACTAGCAATTTTATGTGTATCCAAAGTTCTGAAGACAATTATAGTCACGAATCATCATCATCTGGATAACCATTAACTAAGTGGGAACAATAAATATATTTTTTCATCTCACTAGTAATCCTTAACTTAAAGGTGAATTTTCTGGGGTTTTATAGGAAACGCTTGACTAGTCAGTCAGTCATCAACATCATAGACTCTGGCATGGATATTTTTTGCCCTTTCTACTAAAACTGTATTATTATGCTGAGATGTAGACAACAGGACGAAGTGCGAAAGAGATGGGAATATTGTAGTAGCAATTATAATGAGAAAATATAGATTTTGGGTATAAAGTTTGAAAAGACATAGTAGAAAGATATGTTTGAAGAAGTATTTTAGTTCAATATTCGAAAGAATGTGAAAAATGAATCCATTTGCTTTGTGAACAATTCCGAGTTATGTAACTCAAAGTTTCCAACCAATGATTGGGGTTATGTTAAAGAACCCAAACAGAGTCTGCATTTACTAACCTGACGCAGGCTAATAGTCAATGATTTTATGGACTGATCCCATGACTAGAAAGTCAAATAAGTTGGACGTAAAGCAAAAACATATTGACGACATCGACTAACGGTCACAATACATCAAACATTAACTACAGATCTGTGGATTTCAAACCACTTTGTAAATTTATTGTATTCTCCATGATAGGTGTATGTCCTAGATTTATCCAATGGTAGATTTTAAACGCGGACAACTCAAATGTCTCAAACTAGAATGAAATAACTGTTAATCCTTCTCAAGATTTTAGCGATATTCCTAATGATATCACTTCTGGATTAAAGCTAGATTCAGAATTATACAAATCCTCTCGTGAATCACCAAATAAAAAAATCAAAGTTTTGTTAATTGTAACTCGTAATGTTAAGTCACTAATGCCAATGATAATTTATATTCACAATCAAAAAGTTATGTTTAGAATCTATTGTGTTTTTCATCATTCCAGTTCAAAATAACTAAACGCGGAGGCCTTTGAAGCGTACGGTATTGGGCTCGAGTCCCGGGGTGACCCATCCAGCTGATGAGTCCCAAATAGGACAAAAGAAGTGTCAAACTGGATTCCTTTGCTAGCCACTATCCATCTTTGCTTAAAAACCTTGTGACCTAAATCTATATCGAGACAATCCGCACAGAGACTGATGAATTGCGGTTCTAAATAACAATGGAAAGATACAAGTAAAAAAACAACACCAAGTGAATTTAAAAAATGTCTTAAAAATTATCAGTATAGGTTTATGGAGATTACCAAGTTATTGATTGATGTTAGACTACCATTGAAAACCTGCAAGTGTTGGACGTCCGTTTCGTCCCATTGTGGGACTCTTCAGCAATGCGCACCCACGGCCCTGCCCGTGGCATTCGAATCCAGCTTATTGAACAGGAACATCAGCGGGGACAATCGAATGAGATTAACACAACATTACAGGACCTGTTAGTAAAATCTAACAATCATAAAGTAAAGGCTTAATTTGCAACATGTACATCAATTGTCTCATAATAACTCAGACTTCATTGTTCTTGCATTTTCATACAAATTGCATCCTGTTCCCATTCTTTACTGTTCGATCCTCTTGTCTCTACTGTCAGACCTTCTGTTCAAGAATAACATTATATACTACTTATGTCAATATAAGTAGCACACATCATACCAGGACCTTGTGTCTTGCGCGCGAACGCTTAACCTACTTAAATTAATTGAAAACTGTTTCATATTAATTATATTTTATTCTGAATAATAAACTATTCAATAATTAATACAATGAATGAATTCCCAGTATAAATAAAACAACTTTTGTTTATTGTATTAAATTGAATCATGAATTTCATAACATAAATGAAGTGATTTTAGGAATAAACAATACTGTATCAAATTAATTAGTATATTTCTTAATCGTTTTATATACACTGATCATTTATTAATAACATTAATTAAGTGTCTGATTTTGTACAAAAATATTTATTGATCAATAAAGAAAACAATGAAATAGTTTTTTTCATACTGAATTTGACACTAACTGATCACAATAATCAATTATTAAAATATTTTTTCTTAGATATTGATTTCTATCTGGGTTTTTTTAAAAACTAGCACCATGGTTTCCATTTTGTGTTTTAAGGTATTTGATTATTAAATAGAATTTTTTTCCTCTCAGAGACATTAGTTGATGTTATGTTGGTGTATAAACTAGTGATTAATACAGATTCATTTATTATCTCACGATAACGTTAAGTAGAAAAGTATTAAAATCAGATAATGAAAAATGTAGACGTTTCAATCTGAATTCTCTGGTTCACATTTCAGGATTTAGCTAATTCAGCTAATATAGTCTGATCGTCACTCAGTGTTATCGCTAATATGAGGTGTTTGAACCAAAAATTCATGGGTTAACAATACTTACTTATGCCTGGTACTTCTCGTCGAGGAGCATAGGACATCCACCAGCACTCTCCATTCCACTATGTTTTGGGCAATCATGTCCAGCCCTTTCCAGTTGTTATTCATCCTTTTCATATCTGCCTCTATTTCCCAACGTAATGTATTCTTTGACCTTCTTATTTTCCGCTTCCCTTCAGGATTCCACGTTAAGGCTTGCCTGGTGATGCCGTCTGATGATTTGCGTAATGTGTGTCCTACTCACTTACAACGTCTTCTCGTAATTTCCTCCTCAGCTGGAAGCTGGTTTGTCTTCTTCCACAAAATGCTGTTACTGACGGTATTCGGAAAACAGACATTCAGTATATTACGTAGATAGCTGTCCATAAATAGTTATACCTCTTTGATGATGTTTGGATTAGTTCTCCAATACAATAAAACTGACACGACGTTCGTTTTGAAGATTCTGACTTTGATATTGGTTGAAAGTTGTTTTGAGTTCCACATGTTTTTTCAATTGTAGGAATGCGGCCCTTGCTTTTCCAATCCTCGCCTTTAAGTTTGCATCCGATCCTCCTTGTACATCGATGATGCTTCCCAAGTACGTGAAAGATTCCAAATCTTTCAGAGTTTTGCTATTAAGTGTGACTGGGTTGGTGTTCTTTGTGTTGTATTTGAGGATCTTGAGTTTTCCTTTGTGTTTGTTGAGGCCTACTGATAGGGTTCCCAATAAATCTCAAGAAATTCAATCAAAAAGCCAACTACTATCAATGCAAAGAACCTGTGTTAAATTAGTTGTCTTAGAAATAACTGATTTTTTTGAAGGGCCTCTGTCAGAAAGTGAAATCAGTATACGAAGTTTAAGGTTCTGAACTTGTTGCCTCTTTTGATATTTGTAAGCACTAATAGAGTTATAAATTCTGATAGTACTCTTTGGTTTTGCAGATCAGTCCAACTACAGTCATTTCACGATAGAAACTATTTTATGATAGTCGCTATAGCATAAATAACCAGAAAAAGTATCTGCGTTTTATTCAGACATCTAGTGATCTATAAAAGGTGGAACAATAATCAAATCAGTCAATCATATGAACAGAAAATATGCATTGATATGAATTTATTATTGGTAACTTTTATAAATGTAACGAATGTTTATGATCAATAACCGTTTGTTTTATGACCATCATTTTAATCCTCACTCAAATGCAGTGAAAGAATATCAATTTGGTCCAATATTTAGTGTACGAATAATAGATTTTCCACACACTGGTATATGTATACGCAAATAATGACCATATGCAGCTGGTTTATCTGATTCCTAAATTTTTTTTATTTAGGTGCTTGAAGAACAATTCTTATTAGCGAGATTATCTGTTCAATAGTCCTACTTATTTCAGCACATTGATCAAAATGATAACAAGCTGAAGTGACTAAAATAATAACGGCAATGTTCCTTATTTAGAGATATATAGAATTTATTTAAAAGTTCAGTTCATGAGTCGACGTAACTAGAACACCAATGAAAACCTGGAAGACCTGGATTACCGTCTCGTCTTAGTATGAGACTCCTCAGTAGCGCGCATCCACAATCCTGCACGAGAGACTCGAACCAAGGACCTTCTGTCTTGTGCGCGAACACTTAACCTCTAGACCACTGGGTCAGCATCCAACGGTGTTAATGTCTAACTCCAATCGATTCACGATCTTGCGCAACCATTCATATATTGTCTGAGGTAGATACCTGTCTCTACTTGACATAGATTGGACTCATGAATTCAATAATTAGAAAAATTACTGCAATATCCACAAACCTACATTCAGATATGTAGAATCGTCTGAATTCTTGTCAAACTCATGACTTTACCATAAAAGCTAAAAGAGATTATTTTTCTTAACATAAATATCTGGCATAATGATTTTGATAATTTCTCTATCGAATTACCTTTATTCATTTAAAAACCAACTAATATAAATAGTACTTCCATTTCAATACACTTCTACTGGCATACGATAACTTTAAATATTTAGTAGTGTTTCTGTATTCAGGAATGGGAGTTTTTTTATATATTAGTACATTTAGTAACTCACTACTTGAAGAATTGTAATCCATGCATCATAATTGTTCGAGGATTTACATACTCAAACTGTTCTGAATTCTTTTTTTAAATAATGTGATACCATTAATAAGATTTAACGAAGGAAGAAAATTTTAATTACTATATTTCATTGTTTTATTAAAATGTGGTTATTTTGTTTCCTGGTTCTATTTTTAGTAACTTGATAGTTTCATTTCTATTTAGTATATTAATCAGTTACATGTCAGCTAACAGAAATTATAAAAATATTCAGAATAAATTGAAAATATTTTCTTAGGTAGTAAAGATTCATTTCATATTTATTACCTACATGATTAAAAAGCTGTTACGTGGATTTAACGGTATCGAATTCAAGAGTTCTCATCTCATAGGACTTTCAGTACGACAATGCAATTGAATGATCAAACAAGATCCAGACTATTTATCGCTGAATGAAAAAAAACTTAAAACTTATCAAGGTACAGTACTTGAAGCATTCACGAACAGGATGGAAAACTAACATCGAATGAAACTCTAAAACATACGAGAATAAACCAAAAGTGAAACAAAATCAATTAACGAATAACCTATTTAGTTAACTTTCAAAACCAGATTTTCATTGGGGTGTAACATGAATGATTCAAAAAGAGATTTTCATAGGATTTTCAAAATAACAGTTATAAAGCAGTTGAGTTTTTAATATATCAAATAAGTCAGCAGAATCATTTCCTAGTCATTCCATTATCTAGTACGTAATGAATAAATAAGTAATTGTGAGCATTCTCAATTTAACCATTTCACATAAGTATCCATTTTTTGTTGATCAGTACTTGCTTTGATTTTGAACAAAATAATACGTAGTTTATGTTATGAATTTATTATTCTAACGGTAGAAATCGAGTAATTACGCCTACCTTACAATTAATCAATCATAGATACATCAGTCAGATGTTCTATTTCTTAAGGTAATCACCCGCATAAATAGTTCCAATTCATTTGAACGCTTATAATGATGAGAATGATTCGAATAATAATTGTCAAACAGTTTTATGTCAAAACACACTAAACATATTTGTCCATACATACAAAATTGAATCGGTAGCTCTAGTCATATGGAATAGATTTGGTGTTTTATAGACAAAGATAAATTGGTTAATTACTTCAAATTCGTTAAATAAAACAAAGAAAACCATAATCCATTTTTATTTCTCATATTTGGAATTATTAAAAAACAAAACGCTTTCACGAAAATTTTGGTGATATTTATCAATAATCATAATTATGAATGATAATCTAGATAATGACAGTATAAGAACAGAAGATTATGCTTCAAAATTCAATGAAACAATAAATTTACCAGGTGGTAAGTGTCTATTTTCCCCATTATCAATATTAAGTAAATAATTGACAATCTACTAATCTGATTGATATCCTTGATAATTCTAACAAGTTGATGAAATTCTATTTCATATTATTTTCAATGGTTAAGATCATGAGTCAGTTGAATCTCGCAGGGGGCGAGGTCATGGATGCGCACTGCTGAGGAGTCCCACAATGGGACGAAACGGCCGTCCAATGTTTCCAGGTTTTCCATGGTGGTCTAGCTTCAACTGACTCATGATCTTAACCGTTGAAATTACTATAATATCCACAAAACCCATCACATATTATTTTGTCAAGTTTTTGTAATAAATGTATATTATTCAAATAATAAATGAAAAAAAAGTGATCATAATTTATTTGTGTTACGATCTAATATCAGTTCATCTATTTATTAATATTAATGAACCTAATTATTTTATAGTTGATGTTTGTGAATGGTTGAACGTGATGGTTATGATACAGTTGTGTATGATTCGTTTATAGGGAGAGCTTAAATTTGTACAACTTTGTTATTCACCGGTGTCATAGATGTTATTATCGTTTCAAAGTACTTTTTGTTAACATAAGTAACTATGACTATTGAATCTAATTTATACTGAATACCATTTATCACTGTTTTGACTAACATGATTATAATTTATAGACAAGGAAATTAACATTTAGTGTAAATTCAGCCTAAACATCATTTATTACTAGAATTTAACGTGTATTGTAACTAGGCTTTGCTCAATAGTAAGTTATTTATCAAAACGACGATTGTTATTTCGCTACAGAATGAAAGGTAATTACGGCAGATGAATACAACTTTTCACAAGTGAATAACTGTTACTTCTAAAATGTAAATATCTGTCATAGCGTTTGTATATTGTTTTGTCAATAATCATTGAAAACAGATATGAATATGGGA